AAGGAGAGAGAGAGAAACCTGAAGGGGAAGACAGAAGAAAAGAAACTCAAAACAGACAAGGGAAAACTCACAGATATGAACTTGGCAAACCACTTCTGGGAAATTTATCTTACAAATACAATCTCACTAGTGAGGCTTGGTGGCAACAGCACAAGGATGCAGAGACGGGGATAATGAATATGAGGTCACTCTAGCCTCAGACTGGGACAGAGAGAACACAAGAGCTTGTTCAAGGGAACATATGACAGAGTCCCAGCACTCAAAGGCTGAGAAATCAGGCTCACAGTGCCAAGGAGTTCAAGGCAATGTAAGACCTCCAATACATGAAGGCAAGTTTGAACTGTGGCACCCTGTCATCCCAGCACCCAGGAGGCAGAGGAAGGAGGAAATTTTGGGTCAGCCTGGACTACAAAGCATAACCTTGTCTGAAAAAGCAAACAAAAAAGTTCCAGAGGAGCCGGGCCGTGGTGGTACACACCTTTAATCCCAGCATTCAGGAGGCAGAGGCAGGGGGGATCTCTGTGAATTTGAGACCAGCCTGGTCTACAAGAGCTAGTTCCAGGACAGCCTCCAAAGCCACAGAGAAACCCTGTCTCGAAAAAAACAAACAAACAAAAAAAGTTCCAGAGGGATGTTACATTATGGGATGTCGGAAGACATCTGTTTTCAAGATGAATGGAGCTCCTGCCATGGGGTGGGGTTTTCAATATGTAAGGATGCAACAGAGCCCAGGATGCCCACCCTGGAGAACACACACAGCCAGGATGTAGAATTTCAGTTCAGATTCATGCTCCAAGAAGCAGTGAACCCAAACCACCAAGTACCCAGGAATCTACAGTTCAGCACAGCCATATCAATGTATCTTTCAAAGAAACACACACGGACTTGGAAATGGGGACACAAAGTCTGTGACATTTTGTAACTGGAGAAGCTTGGAAAATTACTTTTCACTGTCTCTTTTCAACTTGGCACAGTGTCTACCAAGAGATTCTTCTTTTTTATTTCGTTTTTGAAACGGGGTCTCCTTATATAATCCTGACTGGCCTCAAACTCTTGAGATCTGCTTGCTTGTCTCTGTCTCCAGAATGCTGGTACTAAAGATGTGTACCTCCTGGCGAGTGTCTTGGGGGGGGTTGTTTTTGCAATCTATTTTGGAGACACAGAAGAAAAAGAGATGGGCCACTTATTTTTCTAAGTCCTGTGTGGACTTCGTAAATGTTATCAAGATTTTTTTTGGGGGGGGGAAAACAGCCCAGACACACATTTTCTGTGGCCTGAGGCTATGTGGCAAGAGTCACGGATACACACAGCCTGGAAACCTGGGTTCCCTCCTTCCACCCTGGGTCCCTGGGACCGAAATCAGGTCGTGAGGCTCGGTGGCAAGCCGGTTAGACACGCACATCCCGTGCCCCTGTGCAGCCCGGGGGCCCGGTTTTCCCTTCCCGGAGCTGGCTCCTTCGCGGTCCCGCGAGCCAGGCCCAAGCCCGGATCGCCCGGCCGCGCCTCACCTGGCTCGCCTTGTAGAACTGCTTCTTCAGCCCCGCAGCCGACATGTCGCCTCCCGCCGTCGGGCCTCCCGCCCGGACTCAGGTTTCCGCCGGCGTCGCCGAACCGACCTCCTTCCTCCGCGCGCTACTCGGCGCCGCCTCCGCCAAAGCAGCTCGCCAGCTCTACGCGCCCGCCGGGGAAGACACCTCGGCCCGCTAGCGCGCACGCGCGGCCGGGATATTACATGGCAACCACACACTTCCGGTGCCGCCCCCACCTCGCCTCTGCCCCTCCCAGCGGCATCCGCGCGCGCGCGTCCGGCTTCTGTGCGCGTGCGCCGCCCCTGTAGGCCGGAGAGCGCATTGCAGCGGGAAGGTAGGGGAGAAAAAACCCGCCCACAGCAACGAGATGAGGGGCGCCCGGAGAGGCCGGAGAGCTGCAGCTCCCTCTACAGCCGAGGAGTAGTAGGAGGAGGACATAAAGTCAAAGCCAGCGTCCATTAGTTAATTAGTGCGTGCGTGGGGAAGGGGGCGCGGCGTGCGTGCCAGAGGACGGCTGCGGTAGTCGAATCTCCGGGATCGAACTCACGTATCCAAGCTCGGCTTAAGAACTTTACTCACAGCCGTCTCACTGGGCCCCCAAGGAAAGATTCCTGACAGCTCACGGCTGTGCCGGGCCGCTGGAACACACAATAAATGAAATAGAGAATAAAATGAAAACAAGACAAAGCCAAGTAAAATGAAATTTCCGAGGCGTTAGAGGGACGGATGGCTGGCTGGCGTGGCGGTGGGGGGGAGGGAGTTTGGTTCCGCCGCACCCACATCGGGCCGCTCGCTTCAGATCCATCCGCCCTCTCGTGGCCTCCTCGGTCAACTGCGCCCAAGTCTGCAGGATCACACGTATACCCATAACTTAAAAGATAAACAATATAAAAACACTCAACCTAGGGTGTCTCCAGTTTAGAAGGTAGACGTCTTCATTTCTCTTCCCGTAGCTGTGACTAAATGCTCTGACAACAAAAGCAAAACCCAAAGGAAAGCAAAAACGCTTGGTCAAAAGCAACTGAAGCAAAAGCAAGAAAGAGTGTTGGAATGCCACCTCCTTGGTGAGACCCAGACTGACACTGGTACCTTAACCCTTAGATCAACTGTGTTATGGATTTCAAAAAGCATAAAGAATATGCCAGAGGTGGCAGTGCACACCTTTAATCCCAGCACTTGAGAAGCCGGGCAGATAGATGGATCTTTGAGGTTGAGGCCAGCCTGGGCTACATAACCGGTTCCACACCATTCTAGCATGACTTGGAGATTAATAATAAAATGGGGGTGATGAGTAAATAGATCCTAAAGCAGGAACAGGAAAATGTTTAGGGTAAAGAATTTTAAAAATCTGGTGTTGAAATTGCTGACAAGTGATTCCATGAAGCCAAGATTTCTGGAAGGTTCCCAGTGACTCAACAGAATGCAGTGTGGTAGATGAAAAGAACATGTGAATGTCATCCTTATTGCTCATGACTATAGGAGCCTTTGTACATGGTGGATTACGAATAGGTTTTGTTTGAGACAGGATCCCACATAGCACAAGCTGGTCTTCAATTCCTGATCCTCTTGCCTCACCTTCCTGCTCCTGCAATGACAGGCTTATGACGACAAGTCTGGTTTCAAAAACGTGTGTGTGTGTGTGTGTGTGTGTGTGTGTGTGTGTAACTGGAGACTGCAGCCAGATTCCTAGCATGCTAGCCACCACAGGTTGATACAAGGATGTTCTTTATTTTATATGGGTTTTGAGATGGAGTCTCATGGAGCCCAAGCTGGTGTCAACTTCAACCTGCCTTGGCCTTTAATTCTGGATCTTCCTGCCTTCCTCTCCCAAGTGCAGGGTTGACAGGTGTACAAGAAGATCTGCACAGTGCAATCTGATTATACTTCCGCAGCAAGTCAAAGGTTTGATGAGATCCTTGACACTTTCACTGAGTTTATGGCCAAAAAGCAATTCATACAGTTATTCTATTAAGAACCCACTTACTAGCCACAACTTCAAGAAAAGAACTGTTGTGGGCATTGAGCTGTTTGCAGATGAAGGAGGGAAAGGTTTCTTTCTCCACCTAACAGATGAAACATTTTAGAAACTGGTTGGTGGGTACCAGGCCAGCACGGCTGCATTGTGAGATCCTGTCTCAAAAAAAGGAAAGAAAAAAAAGAAGGCAATTAATAATGTTTTGATACATTGTATCGCTGGCTGGCCTGGAACTGGCTATGCAGACCTGGCCTGGATGTCTTCAAAGTCACAGAGATCTGCCTGCCTCTGCCTCCCAAGTACTAGGGTTTAAAGCTCCCACCACCAAACTCAATGAACAATTTTTTTAAATTAATATATCTTCAAAGTAATTCACACTAAAAAGGTAATTAACGACTTTGAAAGTAATTTATAATCTTACAACAAAAAAATTCTACTTATAAATAAAGCAAATCGTAATTTTTAAAAAAGCGGTTCATCATTTCAGAAAAGTAACTCATATTTTTTTTAAGTAATTTATAGTTAAAACAGGAAGTACTTGTGAATTAACAATGAAAGGAAGTGATCCCCAGTTTTAATTGCTGTAGCTACTTTGAACCAATCACTAATTAGGATAAACTCACTTCAGATTCCTCCTCTAATCAGTAATTTCAAGTTGTCACTGGCGCGGATCGTGACGTAACCGCCCCACTTCCTCCCACGAATAGCCAATAAAAGGGAGGGCTCTTAGATTGACATTGCATCCTACCAGTAGAAACGTGCCGCTCCGTAGCCACTCAAGAACCGCCGGAAAGGAGTCCTCCTCCTTCCACCTCCCGCGGGATTTTTGGGCGTATGACCCGCAGTTCTCGCGAGGACGCGCCGAGCGCCCCTCTTTTCCTGAGGCAGGGCTGTCACGTGACGGGCTCCCGTCCAATCGGCGCACGGGCCGCGGTGGTTGCCGCGGTTCCCGCCAAATACGAGCGCGGCGGCCGCGGCGGCAGCAGTAGCGCCACCGGCGGGAGGCGGAGAGCGTAGCGGGGTCGCCGCCGCGATGCTAGAGGAGCCGGACGCCGCGACGCCGCCAGCCGTAGGTGGGTGAAGCTGCGGCCCGAAGGACCGGGTCCGCGCCCGGTGCTTGGGGGCTGAGATGCGGAGACGCGAGGGCTCGCAAAGGGGAAACTGAGGCCCCGGGGAGGGGGAAGGGTCAGCTTTGCAGGCTCCCGAAGGTTCCGTGTAGCCCAAATAACGAGGGCCTAGTAGCTGATGGGGAAACAGGCCCCGGGTCGCCCTTGATGGGTCCTGAATGCATCTGTGTCCTCTTGTTGCAGGTGGGGAAACTGAGGCCGGGAAGGGGGGTAGCGTCACTTTTGCAAATTATTAAATGTATTTGCGAATTCTCGAGTGAGTCAGACCTTTGCAGTGGGTGGGGAAACTGAGGCCTGTGGTCACTTGAGCTCTGGACACCAGAGTACCCCGCAGCTGTCTCGGGCAGGGCAAGCCCAGGATGATGGAGACTTTGCCTGGCAAGCATGACCAGGAAGCTCGCTTTTGTGAGTGTGATATAGCCCTGCGGGGTACGTGTCAGGACTCTGTGTAGCATGAGGCAGGCTTCCCTAAATGTGGGGTGCCTAGTCCCCCTGCTTGACTCTGAATTGTACTCCCAGCAGTTGGCACGGAATCCTACCCTGAGTCCTACCCTGAGACTGGAGGGGGTCGCATCCTGATGGACTAAGAGTTCACCAATTGAGCACCACTTGGGGCACTTAGGATGGTCCCTTCTGAGTATGTTATACCAGTCTGAAAGCTTGGACGTTAGTGGATAGGCAGTTTCTGGGATAGAGAGCAGCGTCCTCCATCTCCATCCACTTCTGGGATAATTCCGGCCCTCTGCTACGGTTCTGACCACCAAAGATATGCCACCCCCACCCCCAAACACACACACAGCCCAGTAAGATCCAGCAAGGCTGGATCTGTTGTCCTGACTGGCTTAAGATTTTATGAAGACATAACTAACATTCATAAAACTACCTAGACTATCATGGAGCATTGTTTTTGTTTAACCAAGGCAGAACTTTTTTACCAACACTATTGGTAATAAAGACAAGATGGGTGTGGTAATTTGTACCTGCAGTTCCGGCATCTTAGAAGCTGAGGCAGGAGGATGATGAGCTCCAGGTTGATCTGGCCTTTCACCATCTGAATTCTATCACAGGTAGAAGGAGAGAATCAATCCCACAAGCCTTCCCAACAACAAATTAATTAAAATGTAATAAAAATTCTAAAGAAAGGATGTCTTTCAGGAAAACCCATATTTTTTGGCAGTAGAAAACAGGGCAATGTTACCTTTCTTCCATTCAAATAGGAGAAAAGGGGCATGGGTGTTCTAGGTAGGAGTCCGAGTCTAAGCCGGGGTGACGAGGCTGTCTCCACTCTGGACAGCTGAGGTTGTCCAGAGTTGAGTCTGAATTTCATATAGCAAAATGTATGGGAATGCTCCCCATATTACTGAAGGGGTTTTTTGTTCACTTAAAAAATCGCCTCGCAGGTGGAGTTTCTACACCTGAGCCATCTGTTTAAAGGCATTTACTCAAAGACAGGTTCTGAGCCAGGCATGGCGGTGCATGCCTTTGGGAACGGAGGGAGGAGGATCTCTGTGAGTATGTAAGCTAGTCTGGTCTATTTATTAAGTTCCAGGACAGTCAGGGCTACATAGAGAGCCACTGTCTCAAAACAAACAAAAAAACAGTTCTATTTATGGCTCTACATGCATGGATTTTGGTGTGCTTACATACTTCCTGAGGTTTTTATTTTAGTGAGAAATAGTCTCTCTTGGGGTCTTTTATTTTTTAGTTATTTTTAAAACAAGGTCCCGTGTAGCCTAGGCTGGCCTCTACCTCCAAGTGTCACCTTGCCTGGCTTCTGCAGGGCTGTGGATGGAACCCAGAGCTTCCTGCATGTTAGGACAGTGTGCTACCCATTGAGCTCAACCCAGGTTCCTTCTTATGCCTTGACATAACTACAGCTTCTGCCACAAAATGTATTCATTTCATTTACTTATATATTCATCCGTTTAAGACTATGATGCCTTTGCTTGAAAAATAATTTTTAAGTTGGTTTACTTAAAGATTTACTTGATATTATGCATCTTTGTATGTCTCTGTCCATGTGAGATAGGTACCCATGGAGACCAGAGAGGGCATCGGATCCCCTGGAGCTGGGCTTGTAGTTGTGAGCT